TGTAGAGTTCAGAAGTGAGCTCATCAGGCCTTTTTTTAATGAGAGACTTTTAAAATACACATTTCAATCTCTTTTTCTGTTATCAGCTTTTCAATATTTCTGATTCCTTTATGAGTCAATATTAACAGGATATGTGCTTCTACTCTTTTATCCATTTCTTCTAGATGAATACATTGTTGACATATAATTGTTTACAGTTATCTCTTATGAACCTTTGCACTTCTATTCAACGGACTTGAATGTTTTCTCTTTCGTTGTTTGCTTTTATCTTGGTCTAGGCATAATTTGTCAATTTTGTTTAGCTTAAAAAAACCCAAAACTAATGTTTTGCCAATTTATTTCCACCTTTAGCTACATTTTGACCTTAGTTTCTCATTTTTTTTTAAGTTACTGAAAAATCTTAGGTAAAAATTTTTCTGCTATGCATTTACTGCTACAAACTTTTCTCTTAGAATAGCACTTGTTACATCCCAAACTTCTTAGTATACTTTTTCTTTTCTCAAGAAATCTGCCTGTTTTTTCCTTGACTCAATAGTTGTTTAATTTCCAAATATTTGTGAATTTTTCTTGATTCCTTTTGTCACTGACTGCTAGGTTTGTTTCAGTGTAGTTGGTAAAAATACTTGATTAAAATCTTAAATGTGTTAAATTGCTTTATTAAAATATTGTGGATTAAGATTATCAATAATAGAGAATGCTTCATGGGAACTTGAGAAGACTGTAATCTGCCACTGTTTGATGTCACTTTCTGTATACATGTTAGGGGATTTGCTCTAAACCACAATTCAAGACCAATATTTCTGTGCTGACTAGATGACTGATTTATTATTGAAGTGAGGTACTGAAAACCCTAAGTCCTTGTAGTCTCAGATCTTTTAATATTTTATAAATTTAGCTCATCTTATTTTGAGTGCAAGTATGTTTATCACATGTTCTTGAACTGATGATCCCTTTACCTATAATGACCTTGTCTCTACAGTTCTGGCCTAATGTCTAGTTTAATATCAGTGTAGCTGTATCTGTTTGTTTTAATTTTCCTTTTTGGAAGAGTATCTTTTTACCTCTGATATGCAACACGTACTTGGATATCCTTTTAGTCACTCTATGCCTTTTGACTTGAGAATATAATCAATCTACGTTCAAAGCAGCTACATCCAGGTAAGGACACCTAGTGTCATTTTGTTAATTGTCTCTGGCTCATTGATCATTTTTCTCCTTTGCTCTTCTTCCTTTGTGGGCTGATGATTTGTTGTAGTAGTATTCTTTGAATCAGCATCTATCTATGGTATATCTAACTTAGGGTTTTGATTGTGGTTATCCTAGGGCTTACATAAAACACGTAATACCTGGATGTATTAAGATGATAATAAACCTGCATTTCATTGTGCAAGAAGCTTTTATTTCTTTTACCCTGTTTCATGCTTTTGATGTTAGTTACATTCTCTTTAAGTTTGTATTCTTTACCTAATCAGTTTAGCTACTGTTTTCACAATTTTGCTTCTTAATCTTTAAAGCAGAAAGGAAAGTTATTTATCCTCTGCTATTACAGTATTAAGAGTCCTTGTGGGCATTGGGGCACATGCTTGTCATCCCAGTGCTCTAGAGGCTGAGGTAGGAGGACTGCCGTGAGTTCAAGGCCAGCATAAATCATATAGCAAGACCCTGTCTCAAAAGAAAAGTTTTGAGGGCTGGCAAGATAGCTCAGCAGACTAAGAGCATAAGGCAAGTACAGGGACCAGGGTTCAATCCCTAGCACCAAAGGCTGTGCTGGTCCCACCCCAAGGCACACTGAGCCAGCCACTGAACCCAGGTGCGGTGGCACATGCCTGCAATCCCAGCGCTGGGGAGGCTGAAAACAGGAGGATTACTATAAGTCCAAGCTGCATAGTGAGACCCTGTACCAAACACATTTAAAAACGTTTTAAATTTACAATGTACTTACACTTACTAATCAATTTTATTTTATTTTATTTTTTTTGCATAGATGTTTTTTTGACATTATTTTTATTTTAAAATAAAAGAAATAAAAACAATGGTCCAAAAATCTCAAAACAAGATCTTAGGAGAGTAACAATGGTTAGTACATTTTGTATTGTTACTTCCAAAGTAGTTTCTCATATTACAAGATATAGGCAAGAAATAATAAACAACATAGGTACAAACCTCTGGCTTTTTTTTTTTTTAAAGTCAACAGAAAATGGAAATATACTTTTTAAAGTTTCTAATACTAGGAGAAGATATCATACAATGTCTTTTAAATAAATTTTAAGTCAAAGACACAGTATAGATTTTAGAACAAAAATTAAGATTAAGCAATATTCAGAAAATTAAATGTTTCAAACAATTGAACTAAGAAAAAGTTTTCATGATAGCAAAGAAGTACTAAGAATAAAACATAGAATATTGGAATGGCAAGAAAATGACCAGCACTTGTAACCGTTTGAGGATAGGATATCACACAAAGTTCTAGTGTGTTGTGGACATGCATAATGACCGTGACAGTTACTGGTGGCTAGGCATCACTTGTGGAACTGAGCTACCGCTATTTCTTTGAAATCCACCCTGTAAACTCAAGTGGAATCATGACCCATAGGGTGGAAGAGAAGTCCATTTGTAGAGTGTGCTGATGAAAATATTCTGCTACTGAAAACAAAAGAATAACTGAAAGACTACTACTGTATACCTCTTATTCTCTTCTGTTTAATTGTTTGCCCTATTTGGCAAGTTCTTTCCATTCTCATTCATGGGGCTGTGATCAATTTGCTCCCTCTCTAGAACATCATTTAGTAGTCTGTGTAGGGTTGGCTTTGTCATCATGAAATGCTTTAGTTGTTCTTTGTCATGGAAATATTTCACTTCTCCATTATATATATATATTTTTTAATTATTTTATTTTTGTGTGTGTGTGTGTGTGTGTGTGTGTGTGTGTGGCCAGCTCAGCCCACCAGGGGGCAGGGCTGGCTGGCATGTGGTGCTGGGGGATTGAACCACAGTCCCTGTGCTTTGCTATGCTTGTTCTAAGTAGGAGCTTTAGACCACTGAGCCATCTCACCAGCCCCTCCATTATATTTCAAAGATAGTTTTGCAGGATAGATCAATCTGGGTTGGAATTTGTTTTCTTGTAAGACCTGAAGTACTTTGCTCCATGCTCTTCTTGACTTGATGGTTTGTGAAGAAAAATCTGCTTTATTCTGATGGGTTTTCCTTTAAATGTGATCTGTTTCTTTACTTTAGCGGCTTTTAGTATACTGTTCCTATGCTGAATTTCTGAAATCTTGATTATTATGTCTGGGTGTGGTTTCCATTGGATTGATATTATTTGGAGTTCTATATGCTTCAGTTACAGGAATGTCAGATTGTTGCCCCATATTTGGGAAGTTTTCTGCTATTACTTTTGCCCATATTCTTTTTGTATCATTTGTAGTAACTCCTTCCTTCTCATTGATGCCTATTAGCCTCACATTGTTCATCTTTGCATCATCTTGCAGGTATTGTATTATTTTTTTTCCTGCATCCTAGTTGTTTTAAAGAGATCTTTTCTTACTTTTTCACTAGCTGCAATGGTGTCTTTCAGGTCAGAAAGTCTATTTTCACTTTCACGCAAATGGTTTTGCCAGCTTGCGACTGAGGTTTTAATTTCCTGTATATCACTTTGAACCTGTCTCATAGATTCTATTTCTTTCCTAAATTGTTTATTCAGGGGTTCCATCATTTTTATATTCTCTTCTATTTTTTTTATCAGTGTATTCTTTAGAAGCACTTAGTACTTCTTTGATTATAGTTATCACTACATTTTTTAGTTCCGAAATTATTTCTGACCTGATTTCTTCTATACCTTTCTGCAGTTTTTTCTTTACTGTCAACGCTATTATTTCAGAGATATCTGGTGTGTGATTTCCAGTTTCCTCAATGCTAGTGTCTTCTGCATTTGTACTGGGTGGACTCAAGGCCTGAGACTGCATTTTTTCCTTCTCTTTGTCATTTTGTATACCACTGTTTTCTGACCTTTGGTGTAGAGCTTAGAGTTATTACCTTAGCACCAGGTCCAAATCTACGAAGTTCTGATTCCTCCAGGTGGGTGTTGCTTGGATCTGGCTGCTGTGCTCCACTTCTTTCTGCTGCAGCCATTAGAGTTGAACCCTTTGTGTCACTCTGGCAAGATGTTCTGCTCCTGAATCAGCTGGGTGGGTCTTGCCTCTAGCCTCTTTGCAGAGAGTTCTGCTGAATGGTTCCATGCTGGGCCTGCAGCCTGGGTCGAATGAGGATCCAGCGGGCCCCGGGTTGTCTCACTCACTCCCTGGGCCTAAGCTCTGGGTGTATTCAGGATCCTGCGGCCCTTGGTTGTCTCACTCACCCACCCTGGGCCTGATTTCCGGGTCTGTTCAGGATCCCATAGGCCTCCGGTAGTCTCACTCACTCGCTGGGCCTGCGCTCTGGGTCTGTTCAGGATCCGGAGGACCCAGGTCGTCTCACTCACTCGCCAGGCCTGCGCTCTGGGTCTATTCAGGATCCCGTAGCCTCGGTCGTTCATCTCACTCCACCAATCAATTTTATACATTCATATATTTTCACATTACTAATGTATTCTCTCAAATTGAAAAACTTTTTTAGTTATCTTTTTTCTTTCTTTTTTGTGTTTGGTACGAGTCTCATTGTATAACTCGATTTTTAGTTATTTCTTGTAAAGCAGGCTTAGTAGTGATACCTTTAACTTTTGTTTGATGAAGTGTTTATCTTCCAGGAATTTTCAAAAAATGAAATTTTGGGTATAGTGCTATTGATTAGAAGATTTTTTTCCCCTCTCTCTGAATACATCATCCTATCCCCGCGTGGCCTGTTTCTGTAAAAAAATCCACTAATAGTCTTAGGGAGATTGTATTGTATATAACATTTCCTTACTCTCGCTGCTTTCCAAATTGTTGATTTTAATTTCTGACAAGCTAAAATTTGTCCCATGCAGGTCTCTTTGGACTCATTTTATTTAGTTTCTTTTAGCTCACCTGGGGATTGATGTGTACTTCTTTCTCCGGGCTTGGGTAATTTCTGCCATTAATTCTTTATGTCTTCTACTAATCTCTTTTTTTCTGGAAAATTCATTATGGTTATTTATGCATTAATTATTCTAAAGTTTTCAGTTTAGATATAGTATTAGCCTACAATTTGTGTTTGTCACTTTAAAAATATCCTTCACATATTGGAAATTTTACTGTTGCACTGCTTTCCTGACTTAAGTGAGCATCCTTATGCTCATTACTTTGAATTACTTACTGGGAGCATCACACATCTGCATTTCACTAGGTCACCAATTTGCTTCCTCAATTTGACTCTTGGAGATGCTTTCTGCATTTAACAGGTCAACTGCCCCTCTTTATTTTCTCAGACTTGCTTTGTGTAAGAGAAAGATCTCACCAATCCATGCCAACAGAATGTGAGGTGCCCACCTACAAGTGTCCAAAGTACTGCCTGGTTTTGGCGGCTGCGGCAGATTAGGATTACCTCATCTGGCTAGCATCACAAAACAGCATGGTAGAGAACATGTGTATGTAGCCAAAGAAGTTGGGGAGTCAGTTACGTCTTTCAGTTCCTTCAGTCCTCAGAGAGAGGCTGAGAATGATGTTTATCTCTTAGAACTCTGGCGAATATCTTCACTCACCTTCAGACTACACCTTGACATCCCAAGGACAGTCCTGGAAGTGGGTGCATCCATCCTTGTTTTCTGTGCTCTGCAGGGTGTCACCAATGCAGAGTCACATCAACTCCCAGAACTAGGTGGTTAATGAGGTGGCACTTCGGGCGAGAAGCACAGATGTTGTGGTACTCTATGCATACACAAACTCCTTTCTTGAAAATTTAATATACTTGGATTCAGCACTGGGGAAAGACAGGGTGGAATGCTCAGAAACACCAGCTTCAGGCTGCTAGAGACATATTATTTGTTAAATACTCCAAAATATGCTGCATTACATCCTTTTAGTTAGAAGAATATGTTAAACTATATCAGGGTATTTACTTTTCTCTTAACCCAAGGAAATTATCTTTGTTTTCATATGTGACCAAACTATAATAATTAAATTTTTTAAA